TGATCATAAATATATATAGATATGAAATCGAGGTCAGTTTCTTTATTGCAAGTAAACCATTTGTTTGTTGAACACGTTTTATATATAAAGGTTGATCGTAACATTTGGAAATCAAGCTTTGAAGCTTCTCAACAATGGCGACTCTTCCTTCTCACAACCTTGTTACTATCAACCATAATAACTTCATAACCAATCACTCTTCTTCGTTTATTAATCTCCCGGCGAGAAGATTCCGATTAGCCACCAGTACAAGAGCTTTGTCGAGAACCGACGAGTCTTCTCTATCCTCCGTGATTTCTAGTATCGAACGGGAAAGGCAAGGATTGGTGGAAGAAACGGAAGTAATCTGCGGCGGAGAACGGTGGATTACGGCGGAGGATTTTCGTCGGCGGGATAAAAAAACAGAGGAAGAGAGAAAACTGAGAGACACGTGGAGGAAGATCCAAGGAGAAGACGACTGGGCCGGGTTAATGGATCCGATGGATCCAGTTCTTAGATCGGAGCTTATCCGTTACGGAGAAATGGCTCAGGCGTGTTACGACGCTTTCGATTTCGATCCTTCTTCCAAATACACCGGAACCTCCAGATTCTCCCGCCACGATTTCTTCGATTCCTTGGGGATGATCGATTCCGGTTACGAGGTGGCGCTTTACATCTACGCGACGTCGAACATCAATCTCCCAAACTTCTTCTCGAAATCGAGATGGTCGAAAGTGTGGAGCAAAAACGCTAATTGGATGGGTTACGTGGCGGTCTCCGACGACGAAGCCACGCGTCACCGTCTCGGCCGCCGTGATATAGCGATCGCGTGGAGAGGAACGGTGACGAAGCTCGAGTGGGTCGCGGATCTAAAGGATTATTTGAAACCGGTATCCGGTAACAACCTCCGGTGCTCCGACCGGGCGGTTAAAGTAGAATCCGGATTTCTAGATCTGTACACAGACAAAGACACGACCTGCAATTTCTCGAGATTCTCGGCGCGTGAGCAGATATTAGCGGAGGTGAAGCGTCTGGTGGAGAGATACGGAGACGACGAGGAGGAGGATCTGAGTATCACCGTGACGGGACACAGTCTCGGCGGCGCGTTGGCGATACTGAGCGCGTACGACGTGGCGGAGATGGGATTGAATCGGAGTAAGAGAGGGAAGGTGATTCCGGTGACGGTGATGAGTTACGGAGGACCGAGAGTAGGGAACGTGAGGTTTAAAGAGAGGATGGAGGAGCTGGGAGTGAAGGTGATGAGGGTGGTGAATGTTCACGACGTGGTGCCGAAATCGCCGGGATTGTTTCTGAACGAGAGTGCGCCGCACGCGCTGATGAAGATAGCGGAGGGATTGCCGTGGTGTTATTGCCATGTGGGGGAGGAGCTGGTGCTCGACCACCAGAACTCGCCGTTCCTTAAACCCTCCGTTGATATTTCTACCGCTCATAACCTCGAGGCTATGCTCCATCTCCTTGACGGGTCAGTAGTCCTCTATTTTCTTTTTTCTTTTTTAAATGTATTATTGTATATATAATTAATTAGCTTAGACTATGTTCTTGCTCATAATTTTTGGTGTTGCAATGCTCAGAGTCAGAGATCACAGAAATGAAAACTCTTAAAACAAAATCATTTGTTACAAAGAACAAAAAAACATAGTGAATAAGGGTTTGATCATATTTCATGTATGATGTAGATATGGTGGGAATTGCAAATAAGAAGTTTAATTAAGCCAAATAAAAAAGTCTTATAGATACGTTAGCAAATGATTATTATATAGACTGGACAAGGGATCCAATTTGATTCTCAGAAGATACGATCAATACTCACATAAAATATTTGGAAACATGAAATTAGTTTGACTATTTATATTGAGCTGTTCTGGATTACGTCTGGACTTTGACATAAAATATTTGGGAGCATCTAATTAGTTTGACAAATTGTGTATGCGATATGATTGATCCGAATATTGAAATGTATAAATTCCGTAATGGTGAAAAATATAGGTATCATGGAAAAGGGGAGAGATTTATGCTGGCGAGTGGGAGAGATCCAGCGCTAGTGAACAAAGCATCGGACTTTCTGAAAGAGCACCATCAGGTTCCACCGTTTTGGAGACAAGACGCGAACAAAGGAATGGTTAGGAACAGTGAAGGTCGTTGGACTCAAGCCGAGCGACTCCGTTCCGAGGACCATCATTCTCCTGACATTCACCACCATCTTTCCCAGCTCTGTCTTTAATTTAATCTTCTTAATTAACCCCACTCGTATACATTACATCCATCTTTTGTAATTATATATGTTACATCGATCGATCTTCTTGGATAAAAATGTTGCAATAATCACTTCACTTGCATGCTTTCATCAACCTTCCCACTTTTTTTATATCAACCTTCCTACTTTGCTATATCTATATCGTCAAATCCATTCAGGTTTTCATTTTATATCATTGCATGCATATTTGAAATGATACATACATAAAAACAAGACGAGTAATATGCACTTAAATTCAGGGGGTATTATTATTGTTGGTCTTCCGAGGCTTACCTCTTTTTCCTTTACGAGTAGATGCCACTTACGTTTACGAAGTGATTGGGTTGCGTCTCTCAATTTACAATGCAACGACTATAATAAATCGTATTAATTGGTAAAGACAAGTTTTGACCATCCATTTTGAAATTTTACCCTATTATAAATACCCCCTTACTTTTCACTTTCATTTCTCATTCACACAATTCAAAAATCTAAATTACAAATCTCTTAAGAGTCTAACTAAGAATTAAAGAATG